CCGGGAGCCGCTCGAGCACGTGGGGGGCGGCGGGAGCCCCGGGGGGCGGCGGCGGGTTTGGGAAGGTGTGTGCTCACGGGGGGCCTCATCGCGGTCTCTTGCTGTCGGTGCAGGAGAGCTCATCGGGCACACGGAGAGGATCTCCGGGTTCGCGTTTTGCCACAGCCCCGGGCAAAGCAGCCTCTGCGCCAGCAGCTCCGACGACGGGAGCATCAAAATCTGGGACACGGAGGCCCTGGCGCCGGTGGGGGGGTACAGCCTGCACCAGGTAGGGTGCCCACCGGGAGACGGAGGGGGCGAGACCGGGAGCGCTCACAGCGTGGGGTGGGTGTTTTTAGGCCTCGCACACAAAGCGGGGTGATGTTACTTGAACTAAAGGTGAATTTCAAACCCGGTGAAATTAAAACCGTTGAACGCTTCTGGCCAGCATTTTGTTCTGGCCTTAGTTAGGGCTGCGGCGTTGTTGCATCACCTTAATGGGCTGTTACCATCAAAGCCTCCGTGGGTGAATGAGTGAGTATGCTCGCAGGGCAAACTCCCTGCCACTTAACCCAGCCCGATTAAAATCTTCTCAGCGAGTTATTGTTCCATACTGGCCAGACTAAGAACATATATTTTAACAGTTACTGTCACTCAGGGCAGCGTGTCGGCAAATGCATCAGTCCTGCCAAAGCCTGAAAGAACTGAAAAGCTTTAGAACTAGTTCAGCAGATGCTGGGGAATACTCAGATTTTTTTCTGCCCGTTATTCTGTGTTAGATGGTGGTAAACCAGCTTTAACTGTATTCAATTCTTTCTTCAGAATGCAATCTCAGCGTTGCACTGGTCACCCCTTGTGAAAGATTTGATTGTATCTGGTGATGAAAAAGGTGTAATTGTTTGTTACTGGAACAACAGAAGTGACAGCCAACAGTTCTTCCCAGAGCCTCGGACAATTTTTTGTCTCACTTGTTCTCCTCACCATGAAAACCTGGTGGCAATTGGGTAAATATTCATTACGTTTTGTTTTCTGTTCCTCTCTGTGAGAACCTTATTGTGAATTTTTACTACGCAGTTGCAAGGTTGTTTTTTTTTTTCTGTTTTATTCTGGTATGCAACAGTTCAGAAATAAAATTTAGATTTGGTGGACAAGCAAGACATAGAAATCCATAACAGTGTAAGGGTCCGAGCTTGTTTTGAATCTTTTAAGTTTCTTTAAAATGTTACTTTTTAATTAGATTTGATTGGTGTTTGTCACATTATAGGTTACTTCATCTGAAGATAATTTCTTAGTTTGATTAGGCCTTTGCCAACCACTGCAATTCCAGTGCTTTAGATGCTCTATACTGAACCAAAGAGGAATGTGAAAGCCATTTAGGCTTAATGATACAGTTCTCTTGAAGGAGAACAAACACCAGAGGGCAGGAATGAAAGTGATTTGTGGTAAAGGGAAAAGTTTTCCTTGTGTAAAAGCCACTGTAGTCTTTTAAGTCTCTGAAAGCTGTATTCCCAATGAATGTGTGTCATCTCGAAGCCACATGTACTGGTTGTACTTCCTGTAAAGGCAGCTGCAGGTACCCAGTGCTGTACCAGAGCTCTAACTGACAGTCTGCTAGTCCTCTTGCTGCTTGTGATTTGGCTTCTCTGTAATACAGAGATAGTGATCCTGGTAAAGAGCTCAGAAATCAAGTCAGATATTATTCTCCAAGAATCTCTCCATTAATTTAAGTCTTTATTTTTAGCTACAAGGATGGCATGGTGGTTATAATTGATATCAGCAGGAAAAGAGAAGTACTTCATCGACTGAGAGGCCATGACGATGAAATACATTGTCTGGCCTGGTGCCCTGTGCCTGGTGAAGAAAAGTTACCTGCTTGGCAAGATGAGCTTCAAGGTATGCAGAAGCGATTAATAGTTTGAAGTAATTTTTAGTTCATCTAAACGTCTTTCTAGGGAATTGAAATCCTTATAAAAAGAAGCTAAGCAAAGACAACTGATAAAGTACATTCTGATACAAATCAATATATTTCCAGTTAATTTTTATAAAGCTTTGAATTTTAAAGTATAATAACATGACTTCAATGGTATTCAGTGGTTCCATCAGAGGAAGGCAGACTTCCAAACGGGGAGCTGACACAGGACACAACCACGAAGAAAGGTTGTTACCTGGCTTCGGGAAGCAAAGATCAGACCATACGAATATGGAGCTGTACTAGAGGCAGAAGTAAGTAAGATTAATAATGTGAGATACACAATAACAATATGGTGGAAGAGTTATTCTCTACCTGCAGCCTTCCATTTGCTAACTTGGTAGTTTATACAGCATGGGGAGCATACTTAAAGCTGCAGATTCACAGAACTTTTTCTCCCAGAGAATTTTGATGTACTAGGTCTAGATGATCCCTCTTGGTTCCACAGGTGTGATGACTTTGAAGTTGCCACCCACGAAGAGAAGAGGTGGAGCTGTTGATCCTGCTGTTAAAGAGCGCATTTGGCTTACTCTTCACTGGCCTTCTGGTCGTTCCACAGAAATTGTATCCAGCTGTTTTGGGTAAGTGGGGCACACAGCAGCCTGGGTACCATCAGCAACTGCAGATAACACTTAAGGAAGAACTGGGTAGGAAACTTTGACACCCCCTTTTTCCCTGTATAGCTGGAGGGAAGGCAGGCCAAGTGTTAAAGTGGGGGTTCAATAGTAGAAAACTATTTGTCCCATAATTTGTCTGATAATGTAACTGAATATTGACTGCTAATGGTAGTAATTGTAGGTTTGTCCATATAAAAGGAGAAAAATGATATAACAGTTCTCAGTGTGGTTAACTATGGATATAATTTGTAGGGTGGTATTTGTGCATATCTGCGTATAGGCACATGCAGTGGATGCGTGTATAACTTTGTATTTGCAGTCTGTACACATGTAATACAGTCTATATATAGTCTATATTCTTTTGAAGTGAACAATGAAGTATACACTTTACATTTTTCAGAGGAGAACTGCTACTCTGGGATTTGGCCCAAGCTGGGAAACGCAAGTGGATGCTTCTAGGATCTTCTGATGGACAAAATCACTCACGTATTGTGTTCAATCTGAGTTCTGTGAAGTCTCAAGACAAAGAGCTCCTTTTCTCCATTTCAATGGACAGAGATGTAAGAACCATTTATAAAATAAACATAAAAATAGCAGTACCTGTACGGTTTGACTGAGTGAGGCTACCCCTTTTAGGGCCACAGATTTTCTCTTCAAGTGGGTTTACTGCAGCATTTTACAACATCTTGCTTAAAATTTGTTCTGAGCACAAGCTGTCTATAATATTTTTGTTAGTTTGTAAGCTCAAGCTCTTACCATGGTAGAGTGAATGGTTATGACATTCTGAACTTGACTGGTAAGCGTTTAAGAAAGGGAGTTTACCATCTTTTTTTTCCTGTATGCTTCATTTTAAAAAGGCCTATTTTTTCCTTTTTAAAAATGTTTACTTGTACAACCTAAAGCATCTATTTTTTTTTTTTTGAAAGAAGCTTTCTGCCTTTTACAGGCAGCAGACCACCTCCTGTTTTGAAATCAGAAGAGAACCACAGTATTAAAATGTAGTCCTTTTGTCCATTCCATTACCGTCTTCCAACTTGCAGCTCAGACATGTAATCCTCTGGGTGCAGATCACATACTATGTCAAGCCTTGACTTTGACCCTTTGATTTTTCATCTCACTTGTGCTTTGTTGTCCCTTGTCGTATCAGTCACTCTCCATTTAATCATTCCTTGTTCCTTAAACACTCTTCAGGTGAAGTGCTGGGACTTGTCAACTCTTGATTGTTGCTGGACAATGCCCTCACTTGGGGGGTTCGTCTATAGTCTCGCCTTCTCCCCTGTGGACACAGGCTGTCTTGCCATCGGTGTTGGAGACAGCATGATCCGGGTGTGGAATACTTTGTCCATGAACAATATCTATGATGTTAAAACCTTCTGGCAAAGCATAAAGTCCAAGGTTACAGCAGTAAGTGTGCTTTTCATTCTCCTTTTCTATTGTCTCTTTTCCTCTTCTCACTCCATTAGAAGAGTATTTCTCTTGGGCTCTGAAGAAGATTTTTGCAAATAAAATCTGTAAAGCCAAGTTGTTTCTTTTGTACTTGATTCTTTTCATATATACAGTGCGCTTTGGAATCTCGCAACAAATCTTTAGACCTTTTCACAGCCCTAGGTGCTTGCATTACAGCTAGTGAAAATGAGCTGAAGTCCAGCTGACTGTTAGATTACTTTCTTGTTTTTATTCTCCTTCGTGATCCTTTCTCGCTTCATCCATGGTTTCCCTTGTGCTGCTAGGAAGTTTGACACACACGGAAACCAATGTGGATGTCTTCAGGTTGGGTTTGACTAGTGGTTGACGAGAAGCTACTGCCTGGTAAAATTGCTGGCAGCATTAAAACACAGTAGTTATTCTTGTTCACACCAAAAAGTTTTCTCACCATCCTACAATATTCTCCACATCCATTTTGTAATGTAGATATAAAGTAATATTTTAATAATTCTAGTCCGTTTCATCTCATCACACAATAGCTGG